GTGGCGTCATTGAGTTTGCGGTAGTCTTGGATAAGCCTGAGCTTGCCATCCTTTTTCTTGATAAAGAAGACGGGTGAAGCGATAGGCGATTTGCTGGGGATGATGTAGCCCTTTTTGATTGCATCGTCGAGGAAGGCTTGCAGCTCCTGATTTTCTGCTGGGCTCATCAGGTAGACTTTAGATTGGATCGTTGAAGGAGCGTCTGATTTTAGGTCTATGGTGTGATCCCAGGCTTTATGTTCAGGAAGCCTTGTTGAATCTGTCTCAGAAAAGACATGAGCATGCCGATGATATTCCTTGGGGGCGAGTTGCTCGAAGGTTTTCGAGTATTTCTCCTTATTTTGCTCGACTGCTACTTTCTGAGAGTAGGTGTAGCCTGCTAGGCAATAAACTTCGTCTGTAGCGTTATCGAGGATGCCGGCCTTCACCCAGGTCCAGCGTTCTGCTCGATTAGCTTCAACTTTAGTTAAACTTGGAGACGCAGGAAGGTCAGGCGATGCTTCTGAGCTGTCAGGAAGCGTCATTTCGCCTGTTTCCCAGTCTATAGTGGGGTTGACTTTCTTTAGCCATGGCAGTCCGAGGATGATGTTCTCGGGACCGATGTCTGTGATGAAGAAGTCATATTCTTCAGGAGCTCTAGATCCAATTTTGACTTTGAGTTTAGCGTAGTGTGTAATTGCACCAGCGCTGTTAGTTGAACCCTCAATGTTTCGGAGACCGATTTGTCGTTTGAGTGGTCGTTTGTAGATGTTATTCTCTCGCGCGAATTTTTCGTGCAGGAAGTACCCGGTGGCTCCGGAATCGATCATAGCAGGTGTGCATAGAGATTTATTTATTCCTGATACTGTTACAAATACGCGGAAGTGAGACGAGAGGTGGTCTATTGATGATACGGTACACGACGAGATATGGTCCAAAGGATCAGAGTCTGAATATACAGGAGCCGGCGCTGTTGAAGGCCGCTCGTCTAAACTGGGCACCAGAGCTGCAGCTCTAGTCTGGGCCCTTGCTAAAAACCCTGGCTAAGCTTTGCCATTAGCTCGGCTTGTTGTTTTTGCATCAGAAACATCATGTCCTTGAGACTAGCTACATCGGCAGCTGAGTCTTGCAACGCGGAGATGGATGCAGATGTCGAGGGACTTGTCGACGATGAAGCTCGGACTGATTGCGACTTCGGTGGTTGTCCGTTCAGTCTTGACAGGCAGAGCTTTTTCCAGTGACCGGGTTTACCGCAATGTTGGCATTTGGTATCTTCATGTGTGCCATCTGCCTTGTGACCTTTGGAACCGCATACGCGACAACGACCGACCATGAGCTTGTTGTACTGTTTTTTGATTTCCACGGGGTCCTTGAGACCCTGGAAGAGATCGTCGAAGCGTGAGGCGGA